CTCATTTTGTTCAGCTTTACGAAGTATTGTTGTTTCGGGTGTTTTTTTTTTGAGGGAGTCATCATCGATCCCAGCACGTTCTGGGGTGCAGGACATAGTAGTGAGGCAGGCTGGATGGCTCACCTAGTGAGCCATTGGCATCAGCGCCATCTAGTGGCCTGGACATACACAACCAAGCCAGGGAGCAAGAGGGACACTCAGTCCATTCTTGGAGGGAAACTACTGGGGATTCATGGACGGGCCTAGCAGGTCTAGTACCTCTACAGTGATGCTGGGACTGGTAGAGAGGAACGCTTACCTTCCTGAGCGATCCACAGGCAGGGTGCACACCCAGGGACACTCGGCTTCCAGGACTCGCACTCGATTCGGCTCATCCAAGGAAAGCATGGTCTTCACTTCATGGATGATGGCAAGTCCCGCACGGCCACTCCACCTGGGAAGTGTAGAGAAATCGCATGCACAGTTGAGAAATGGACCCAGGTGACAATACCCAGGCCTACATTCTCCCCAGATAAGACCTGTCTATCAAGTCCCTCTATCCCTGACCAGTGACTGCAGGTGTATGAGTCACCATGAGGTGGGCAGGTAGGCTGCTGTGCTCACATACTAGGTGGTGCCTACATGAGTGTGACAAGGGGAAGCTGTCCCTCACTCCTCCTGTCCCTGGGGCTCTGAACGTGCTGGACCTCAGTTACCGATGAGAACGACGACGGTTGTAGTTCTCACTCATTTTGTTCAGCCCAAGGAATGTTGGTTTGGTTTTTTTGTGGGGAATCATCATCGATCCCAGCACGTTCTGCGAAGCCAGATGTCTAGGTGAGGCAGTTGAGGCAGCTCACCTCGTGAGCCAATGACCTCAGGGTCCGAAAGCAAGAGGGACAGTCCATCCACTCTTGAAGCTCAACCCCACAGGCCACTGTGGACACGTGGACAGGCTGCCTCTAGCACAGGGACAAACTCCCCAAGCAAATGACAGATTGTGGGAAAGAGGAATGCTTACCTTCCTGCGGGATCCACAGGCAGGGTGCACACCCAGGACACACGGCTCCCAGGACTCCCGCACGTCACCCATCATCAAAGGAACGGAAGGTGGTCTCTTCACAGCTGATGGGCAGCCGTGGGCGGCCACTGCACCTGGGAAGTGCACAGAAATCCCAACCACAGTTGAGAAAGTTACCCAGATTGTCAAGTAATAGTGGGGGAGAAAAACTGAGTTTGTCTATTCCTAAAATATTGAAAACCAAGCCTCCGGTCACAAAATATTCTGCCAAGAAATAGACAGACTTAATTCTTACTGATTTAAGTTGTAACGTTAGTAACATGAGCAACAAATAATGATTAAGGAGCAAATCTATGAAATCTCCTGATCTCTCTACTTGATGAACATACGTGACTGATCTTTGTGAGGCCACCACAATATGGAATATTGAAATTTTTTTTTTGCTTTTTTAAGTAAAAATGAAAGGCTTTGTGGGTTTCATTTAAAATCTTCTGGACATTAGATAGATCTCATAAATTTAACATATAATTTTCCACATCCAAAGAACTAATGTCAATTTAAAAATAAAATAAAATAATTGTCCTGGCTGGTTATGCTCAGTGGATAGAGCGTCAGCCTGCGAACTGAAGGGTCCCGGGTTTGATTCCAGTCAAGGGCACATGCCTGGGTTGCGCAGGGCTCGATCCCCAGTAAGGGGCCGTGCAAGAGGCAGCCGATCCATGATTCTCTCTCATCATTGATGTTTCCATCTCTCTCTCCCTCTCCCTTCCTCTCTGAAATCCATAAAAATATATTTTAAAAAATAAATAAAAATAAAGTAATTTTTTAAAACTAATTAAAGTCAAATCTCAGTGATGAGAAGAGTATCAATGATTCATCATGATGTATGGATCTGACCCTATGCTCTTAAGTCATGGGTCAACATTCTGAAACCTAAGAATCTGTTAGGGAAACTCCCAAACACAGCTTCTTCTCACAAAAGGATATTTCACTGCAATCCAGAATTGTGTAAAAAAAAAAAAGAAATCAACAATTTCCTAAAATTTTACACTTGTCAGTCTACTCAATACTCATACAAAATAAAAATTTAGCCCTAGCTAGTTTGGCTCAGTGGATAGAGTGTTGGCCTGCGGATCAAAGGGTCCCAGATTAGATTCTCGTCAAGGGCACATACCTTGGTTGCAGGCAGCCCAGGCCCTGGTTGGGGCACCTGCAGGAGGCAATCAATTGATGTGTTTCCCTCACATCACATTGATGTTTCTGTCTTTTAAAAAAATACATACTTTTATTGATTACAGAGAGAAAGGGAGGGGGAGAGAGAGATAGAAACATCAATGATGAGAGAGAGAATCATTGATCGGCTGCCTCCTGCACGCCCCCTACTGGGGATTGAGCTTGCAACCCGGGCGTGTGCCCTTGGCCGGAATCGAACCTGGGACTCTTCAGTCCGCAGGCCGAGGCTCTATCCACTGAGCCAAACAGGTTAGGGCTCTCTGTGTCTTTCCCTCTCTCTTCCATCTCTCTAAAAAAATCAATGGAAAAAATATCCTCGGGTGAGGATGAACAAAAAATAAAACAAACAAACTAAAAATTCACATTCAGAAACGAGGGTGAAGACAATCACTACAGAAATGGCACATTATTCAGGTATGACCCAGGGAACCACTGGAAAGATGCACACACCTGAAGACGTGGCCTGGAGCCCATGACCCGCATCTCACAGGGTCCTGGTGCACCCCTCACCTCCATTCGCTGAAGTGGAGGACCTCGCTCAGCCCGTCCGAATGCAAAAGAAACAGAAGAAAACAAACAAAAAATATAATCTCGGAAAATACTCGGCAGTCAAGACAACAAAGCACTAACATGTATTCTATTGCCAGTAAGTAGCACACGGGTGCTTGGGCTTTCTACTTTCCCCACAACACCCAGGAGGCGTTCCGTACCCTTCTTAGTTCCACGTTCCAGGTTTTTATTTAACAAAGGAAAGAGTCAAGAATGAAGATCCCGCCAGGCCGGTGTGGCTCAGTTGGTTGAGCCAAGAGGTCACCCATGAACCAAGAGGTTTTGGGCTCCATCCCCAGTAGGGGGCGTGCAGGAGGCGGCCAATCGGTGTTTCTCTCTCCCTCTCCGTTCCTCTCTCTCTCTTTCTCTGCCATCAATAAAAACAAAAAGGTGTTCCCTCTTTGGATGGTTCCTGGTGGAAGCAACTATTGTGATTACTGTCAAATGTTGATTTTTAGTATCCTGCCATGATCCTGACTAGCGTTCTGTTGTCAAGAACTCGACTTTTGACCCTGTTTATCCATTCATGATTCATATGTTCATTTAGCAACATTGTAAATATCTCACCAGTTGCCTCGTCCTTGAAGAGATTCATCATCGCGTCCAAACGTGCCTAGATTGCTTCAAATTCAAAGCCAGGGCTGGCGCACGGCTTGGAACCCATCACTCCTCCTGGACCGACGTCACCTGACCCATCACGACTGCTCTCTCTGCTTCTTCTCTTCCTCCTTCGGCTTTCTCTAGACAAGACACTGTGAGCTTCTCCTATCGTCCATGTCCCTCAGAAGAACAGGAGATAAAAAGGAGTTAGTGGCAGCACCTTCCTGACGTGTATAAACCCGTCAAGTGTCTAAATATCGTGGGGGTGAAACTTACCTCTGAATTCCCTGGTGATCATGGGGCCAACACTTCACCTGCCGGATCAGACTTCCCCATCCATTGTCCTTGCAAGATGCAACATGTTACGTTCAGAAAAGTGCTGAATGCCGAAACCGGTTTGGCTCAGTGGATAGAGCGTTGGCCTGCGGACTGAAGGGTCCCAGGTTCGATTCCGGTAAAGGTCATGTAACCTGGGTTGTGAGCACATCCCCAGTGGGAGATGTGCAGGAGGCAGCTGATCGATGTTTCTCTCTCATCAATGTTTCTAACTCTCTATCTCTCTCCCTTCCTCTCTGTAAAAAATCAATAAAATATATTTTTAAAAAAAGTGCTGGAATGCAGACAGAGAACTGGGGACGGGGGCGGGGGGGATTGGGAGGGGGGTTGAATAATTATGGAAAACATACACCAAGGGGCTAGGGAATCCCAGACCGCGTGGTCATAAAGCACCATTGGAAAAATATTCCAACAGATGACGACATGGAAGTTGTGTCACTGGGGTGGGGGCACGCCCCCCGCTATCTGCAGTACTGGCGCTGGCATTGCGTCATCGTGTCTATTCCGAAGTTGGTTTTCTCCCCTTTAGTGATACTCCTCTTATTGGCCATTTCTCTTGGGCTTCGACCTGTGTCCCCATGGCACCCAGTGTTCGATGGCCTGTTCTCCTGAGGAGCCCAGGGGCCCCTTTCCTGAGCACGGGCGCCCCCTAGCTGTAGCGGTTGTTCTTTGTAACTTCTTGACACCACAAAATTGGCCACAAATCAATGCCCCGTTCCTGTCTCTCTCCTGTTCCCGGCACATCTCAATACTTAGACCTCTTAGCCCGAGGGACTGCACTTGAGAATTCTCAGGGGTCTGACCCTAAAGGCAAAGGGAGACCGAACATGACCTCGGAAATGTGCGTTTCTCCCCAAAGTGTGGTTTCGCGCCATCGATTTAGCCAAATAGTAGTATTTTTCTTTATCACCTTCCAGAGGTTGTGACGTTAGGTGGGTTGTAGTCAGTTGTGGATAGTAGGGCGAAGTACACCGTCAAACCCAACCTCAAACTTAACCTCTATTTTTTTTTAAAAAGAGGGATAATGGTGATTATAAGTATTCAATGAGGTAATTCATGAAATAGTGTTTATCTCAGCATGTGGTACCTCTAAGAACTCAATTAAGTGCTATCTATGTGATTGAAATACATATTTTTGAAATGGCACCCATCACTCCCACACATAGAACAGTAAAAAAAATGACCAAAACTCAAACTATCACCATTTTTGAATGTTCTTCCTATAAAGTTAGTTTATTGACCATATCCAAAGAAGCGCATACATATATCGTTTCACATGAACAAAACACAATGTTGAAGCCTGAAACACAGTAACTCAATCACTGGTGGGAAAATAAGCTTTTGAAAAAGCAAAAACACACCTGGATTTTCATATCAATTACTTTGAACACACATTACTATTAAGTAACTGAATACAAGCCAATTGGATAAATGACTCGTCACTAAGTCTCCAAGCATGGCGACGGGATTAACAGGTTACTCACAAGTTCACAAGTATAACGAAGGCTGCGGGGAGTACCCTTGAGTTTACACACATTTTTGAACAATACCTATTACATCCTATAGGTAAAATTTCTAAGACTAAAATTGGGAGTCAAAATGTGCTAATTTCCATCCAATACCTATTTCCCAGGGTAACATACCAGGAGTCCAAATTTCTCCACACGTGGTACCTCTTAATCTAATAGGTGAAAAATGACAACCCATGGTAGGTTTGTTTCCTTGTGTGTGTGCCTATCTGTGTGCACGCACGCGTATTTGCTTCGTCACTATTTGTAATTATTATTCGATAGCTGTAATTACTTCATCATCAAGATGGGTGTGGTTGGGCGTAGTTTTATATGCTCTTGGCCATTCACAATACCTTTTCTTTTAGGAGCTGAGCACTTATGGGCTTGGCAGCACTGGTACTGGGATGCCTGCCTTTTTTAGAATTAATTTGCGGGTAGTTTTTCATAGAAGATTAGCCCTAACTTGGTCGTATACGTTTCAAGGAACCATACATCTATAGTTTAGCTGACTGTCAGATAAGAAGTAGCCCCATTTCATTTTAAGCTAAGCAGGTTGTTGGTTCTCTTTCTCTCCCCGGAACCCTCCAGTGCAGGTAACAAACAAACAAACGAGCCAACTTGGAAAAAAACAGCTTCATTGGGCTCAACATGGCATCCGTCGGCTGCGTTCCAAGAGAAGGCTATTTCTTGATTTCTCCTAAGATCGCAGGACTAGGAATATGTCTCGGTCGGGGTAACCAAAATGGCAGCAACTCCCCTTTTTCCTGAGGGACAGTTTCTCTTAGGTGGTGACTGTGAATCGCCCCTTGGGAGCCCTGAGGCGCACCCACAAATACTGGGGGCCATGGAGAAAAAAAGGCTTGGACCATCAGAGGGTGGAGAGATCACCAGGAACCTGGGACAGGGCCGATGGCCAAGGTTCATCTACATCGGACCATTCTGTCAAGACCCGGAGGGTGGCTTCGTTACCTAACCCATAGAAACAACACGAGAGACTCGAGGAACATTAAGCAACCAATGACCATACGTTCCAAACAAAAGGACAACCTCCAGACACAGATCTGAATAAAATGGCGGGAAGGGACTTCCCTGGTTCAGAGTGTAAAATCAGATGCCTAACCTGGTGAGAGTTGAAAGGGAGATTCGTAAAGAGGCTCACTGAGGTCAGAAGAGCAATGCAGAGACATGACGAGAGGGGCCCACCGGGGCGGAAGTTTTTAAGTATCAAACAGAAATCTCAGAACTAAAGAGCACTATGACTACGCCGAGACGTTCGAGAGAGGGGTTCAACAGCAGAGTAGATGACGTGGAAGAAAGGACGAGCGCAAGACAGGGGCCGGGGAATTCATCCAATCGGAGAGGCCAAAAGAAAAAAAAATGGCATGAAAAGTGAAGACAGCTTAAGGGATTTTAGGGGACACCAATGGACTCATGCACGCATCACAGTAGTCCAGGAAGGAGAGATACAGAAAGGGGCAGCAGGGCTATTTACATTAGTATTGGCTACAGAACACAACCCTTATAAGGAAGAGGCATTCCCGTCCGGGAATCCTGAAGGCACTGAGAAAGAGGACTCCGAGGAGGCCCGACACCAAGATGTATTCTAATCAGTTAGTCACAAGCGAAAGAGTAGCAGAGAATCTTAAAAGCAGCAAGAGAAAGCAACTTGTTCAGACCAGCAGCACGATTCTCAGCGAAAGCGTTGCAGAACAGGAAGGCAGCGGGATGACGTAGACAAAGTGCTGAAAGAAAACACTGCCAACCAAGATCACTCTAGCCCACAAGGTCAATTTTCATCCCTAAAACAGGGGGAACCACCAACGGGTCAAAGAAGAAACGAAGACATAAAAACTATCTCGAGGCAAGCAAAAACATCACGTACTCAAATGTACGGTACGCGGCAAACATAGCTCTAAGCAAGAAGTTTATTGTAATAAACACCTACATTAAGAAAAATATCTCAAACAAACTAAGTTCACATCAAGAAACTACAAAAAAATAAAAACAAAGGAATCCCAAAGTTAGCAGAAGAAAGAAAGTAACAAAGGGGGTGGAGGCGGCCGGGGAGAAGTCCATGGAGGGAAAAAGGAGACTTATGTAATACTTTAAACAATAAAGAATTTAAATAATAAAAACGAGAAAGTAACAAAGATGAGAGCAGGAAAAAAAATAAGAGAGACTAAAAAGATAATAAAGCCCTAGCCAGTTTGGCTCAGTGGATAGAGCGTCGGCCTGAGGACCAAAGGGTCCTGGGTTCGATTCCGGTCAAGGGCACGTACCTCGGTTTCAGGCTCCTCCCCGGCCCGGGCCCTGGTCGAGGCTCGTGCAGGAGGCAACCAATCAATCGATATGTTTCTCTCATTTCGATATTTCTCTGTGTCTTTCCCCCTCTCTTCCACTCTCTCTAAAAATCAATGGAAACATATCCTCGGGTGAGGATTAAAAAAAAAAAAAGATAATAGAAAAGATCAATGAAATGAAGAGCTGTTTTTCTTTTTAAAGATAACCAAAATAGAAAAAGGTTTACATATACCTACCAAGAAAGTATGAGAGAAGACGCAAATAAAATTATAAATGAAAAGAGGAGACACGACAACCGATAGCACAGAGGATCACAAGAGACCGCGGTCATGTGCCACTTAACGAGGAGGGTATGTTCTGAGACATGTGTCCTTAGGTGATGGCATTATTGCGCGGACATCATGACATGGCCTACTACTATGGATGTATATGCGCTATGTACTTTATGGACTGGCAGCCCAGCAGGCTTCTTTACGTCAGCATCACCACAAACATGTAGTGTGAGCCCCAAAAGGTGGCATTTTTTTTGGGT